CCAGGCCTTGGGAAGGGGGCTGGTGGGGGAGGGGAACTGTGGGCTGAAGGGGTGTCTCTGAACTCCAGGGACCTAGCAGGCCAGCTTCCTCTGATAGCACTTTCAAGCCCTCTGCCATGTGCTTGGCCGTGGGTAGACAGCAGGGACAGCCGGGCTGGAAGTTGGAGAGGGAGCCTGTGGTGAGCCCTGCTAGATGCCGTGGGCAGTGAGGTCAAGGGAAGAGTCTGATTGGACTGCTGGCCAGTATTCCCTCTGACCCACTGCTTCCCAGTCAGTCCTGCCTTGGCCTGGGTAGGGGTCAGGCTGGTGGACAGTCCTGCCTGATGGAATGTGGATGACGCCTGAAAGGCTATGGGCCTTATCTGGGGGTCTTAACTCCCAAGGTGGGGGAAGGGAATGCAGGCCTAAAGCTGTTCAGGGGCCTGGTTAGTGTCTGGATGACAACCTGAGGGGGGGAAGGGATGCATCTTGGAACTTCAGGTGGGGGTGGTGTCTCTTACAGCTCCCATTCTCACCATTAATACTGGTGACCACAGTTACCAAGTGCAGTACATGAGGTGATGAATACTTGGGTGAGACTAGGAGGCTTGTACTACTGTCCCCCCTTCTAGACTGTGAAAGGGAACTCTAGTGTCCTGGCCCTAGGGAGCTGTGCTGCTGACCCAAAGGCAGTACCTCTTCTGGCAGTTCGAATCCACTAGCAGGCCTGCAGGAGAAAGATGAGCAATCCCCTTCCATGTGATTTACAGCTTCCAAAAAACCAGCTCAGAGTCAGCTGTGTGTCTGTTCTGCTTCAAAGATTTTTAAGTTTGAGGTTTTGAGTTTTTTTCAGATTGGAAACAGAGGTTCAGAAAGGAGAAATGACTTACCCAAGCTCTCAGCTAGTCATTTCATGAGCTGATTTGAACTCAGGGCTCTTATTCCAAAGCTTAAGTCCTTACTTGGTCACTGCATTGATCGGACAGTAGGGAGAGACAGGAGCTGTCCTTCTCAGCCTCTAACCCAGTCTCCCCACTTCCTGTATCAGTGTACCCCTGACAGAGGTGCTCCAAGGCTGGCATCAGTCAGTGGGTCTGAGTAGCTGCTCTGCGTTCTGAGACCTCTGGACACCATGGTCACTGAGAGTGTCTGTGAATGGGGGATAAATTCAGAGGAGGATTCTGTATGAGCAGTTCCCTGGGCAGGGCAGGCAGCAGAGATGATGGGGTGGGAGTGAGTGGGGCTGAGAGCACGTTCCCAGCCTTTGAAGCCCTCCATCCACCCTCCAGAGGTCAGGCCATCTCCAGTTTCACTCAGGAATGGAGTTACCAGATCCCCAGCAGGAGAGGTGAGGGGGAGTGGGAGGGGCCTCTCCTCCATCAGACTGAGTCCTTCAGCCCTTGGGAAGGGGCCTCGAAGGAGGTGACCCCTTCTCCCCTGTGGGGCTAAGATGACCTGCACAGACTTTGCAGCCTGTCCTTTCCTGTGTGATCTCAAGCAGAAGTCTTCACTTTGGTCCTCTGCTCCTCTCTTTGCTCCCTTGTAAAATGGGTGACAGTCAGAGTCGCCACAGGGATATGGTAAGAGCTGGTGCTGCTGTGTGCTGTCAAGTTGGAACTAATCCATAGCTGATCGTCCAGGGGGGTTTTAGAGGCAGTAAATGGCACGGAGGAGACTGCCTATCCTTCTCCTGAGGAGCACCTAGTGCTCCTGGATTTGAACAACATGCCTTTGCCTCACAGGGTTAGCGGGTGTCTGCCCGTGAATCCTGCCCAGGGCGGTAGGCAGTCCTGGTCCTGTCTACAATGCACTAACTGCTGTTGAGCTGCGCTTCTTTCCTGTCCCTCTGTGTGTGTGTTCCAAAGGGATTTCTTTTCTTTTTTTCAAATTTATTGTTGCACAAAGTGTTTTCAAGGACTAATTTTTTTTTCTTCTGGTGGTAGATTGCCAGGATGTGAGTGACAGGATAATATCCATACGCATACAAGGAAGGCGAGTGAATACCACTATCATTCAGATATATGCACCAACAACCAGAGCCAAGGAAGAGGATATAGAAGATTTTTACCAACTTTTACAATCGGAGAT